AAAAGGTCATTTATTACCTTTGGTATACTCTTGTTGGTATTAAAGAGTATATTTTATATTTTTATAAATATATGTAAGGATTAATAAAATTCTTTTGAATATAAAAGTTTCTTATCATTAACATAAAGTAAACTTTCAGGGTTTATATTCCATACACTCACATTGGTGAAGGTGAAAAGTGTCCCTAAGGAGTGCTTGGACTTGTGGTTTTTGTTTAAATATAACTTTTACATTTTGTTTTCATAACTTTTTCATTTCTTCCATTTTATTCTAGTTTATTTTTATGGTAGAGTAGCATACTCTAACCTCCTCCCCATAACTCTAAAGCATTAGTTGATGCAATTGGTTGATATTATATATGTATAATTAAATGATCAAACTTAATTAGTATCAACATTAATTGTGTGTGGTGTGGCTCCTCCTTGTTGCCAATATTTTGTGTCCAACTGGAATTTTTTTTGTAGGAATTTTAAAGATGATATGAACCATTAGTTTAATCATTTTACAGTGATTGCCACTAGTCATTCTTAGGATGATATTTGATGTTTGTCCCACTATGTTTTATTTCGTTAAAGTGGGACTTATTCAGTATAGTGGGACATTAATTAGCATGTGTCCACATGCCATTTCCTAGTACTTAATTAATATTTATTAATATTTCTATCAGTTTTTTAATTTATTTTTTTATATTTCACAATATTATAACACAAAATCATATGAAAAGTTTTTAATTTATAAATTATAAAGTTAAAACTTCAATTTTTTATTGTTGTTATAAAAATGGCATGTGGCCACACACCATAAGTGGGATAATGAAAAATCCCACTTTAACGAAATAAAGCATCACTTGTCATCAAAGGATGGCATTATAATAGTACAATGGTTTTAGTGTAACCAATCATGTATAAACATTTTTAAATGTGCATTTAAATATGGTGATGATTATAACAGTGCCTTTTAACAATTGCATTGTCTTCGTCAAGTGTTATCTAAGTTAATTATGTAATTTAGTGTTTATTTTTAAAGATTTATGCTTTGTGCAAAGTCAAATATATCAAATAAAATAAAGTTGGGATGTTGTGGCTAACACTTTATCAAAGTTTTGCAAGGCTTCTGCATGCACTTACCCCAACTAATGCTTTTTAACTAATAAACACTATAAATATCACCTAGTTATATATGGTTAAATTCCACTTTCTAAAGGGGATAATCCTATTTTAATGGAGGTTGACATTGTTACTACTATATTCAAGCACAAAGACAAGGATGTGGTTGTGATCATTATGTTCATTATTAGGCATAGGATAAAGTGACCACACATATTAACATTTTCCATATTGGCATCTTTCATTTCTTAGGTAAAAGTTTTTGTATCAATAACATCCTATCAGTGTTGTTGTTGTGAAAGGTCTTAGTATAGAAATTCTTTTGAGAAAATAAGAATTATATAAGTAATACAAGGTCCTTATATAAATAAGTTAGTTACTCTTCCATCCTTTCAAGAGTACTATCAAGGGTGTATTTGGCACCAGTTCATCTAGTATTCACTTTGTAAGTTTTTTTTTTTAATAAAATATCCTTATTATCTTTTTTGTATTGGTCAATAAAGGTTTTGGTTTATTTTCTATTACTCAACTTTTTACCACATATTGCCATTTATATTTACCTTGTATGGTAAAGTCAATTTTCATTCTTTATAGTAACAATTATAAATATACATATGTATGGTGTGTGGGATGGGGCAAACTTAATTGTATGTGTGAGTGATCATAAAGTTGAGCTCAAATTATTATAGCATTTTTTATATGGATTGATTGTAGTGCACTCATATCAAGCTTAACTTTAATATTTCTCCTTTTTGTTTCATATTCCTTCATGTCTTTTTTATTCTTTTCATTTTTATTCCACTTTATCCCTTTACTTTTATTTTTACTTCTATCACTTTAGTCTTAGCATTACTATCTTTTATGTTTTTTCTTGCTCTTTTATTCTTTTTTTGGATCCCTTAAATGGTCTTTATGTTATGAGCTAAAAAAGGTATATACTAGCTTTGACATATTTTAGGGTTAAAATTACAATATATCATTCTATTCCAACTAGGGATACTTGTTTAATTAAGTTTTTTATTTAGTATTGATCAGCAAAGAAGATTAAGAGCTTATAAATGAATGTTAATGAAATGTTAGAAAAAGGTCATATATAAAATCTTGGGGTTCTTAGGTATGTGAACTTTATCTTGTGACAAAACATGATAGGTGAGTATTTTGGATATATCTCCTCTTCCTTACACTATCTTTTAGATTGTCTAAGACAAAATCATTAGTTCAATAAATTTGGATCCTATATATGATATTACTATATACTATATTATTATTATTATTATTATTATTATTATTCTGTATCTTAATAATTCCATTTAGTTTGAATGGCTTAACATATGGTGTGATTCAAATCTGAGATCCTCTAAGACCAAATTTAGGCTTCTCAAGAGGTCACCAACCTAATACTATTCAACCTTTTAACCAATTGAAAAAAAAGGTACTTTTATTTATGGGCTCTTTTTCTTTATATCTTTCAACTTTGTTTTTGTTGCTTATACTAAACATACTACTAATCTTGGGTATTGCATTTTTTATAAGGTTTTTTAAATTGATTTTGACAAATTTATGGCTGTTCTAAAGTTTCTTACACTAATGTGTATAAATAATGTGCAACACATCCTTAATAAGCTGCAATATTTTATACATTTTATTGATTATATTTCTAATCAAATTGCACTATTATTAGTATTGTTGAAGTTGCCCATAATTTTTTTTTTTGTCTGAGAATTGTAATGAAGTGTTAACAACTTCTTTAGTTTTAACATATTTTGACACTTGATGATTTACCTTTCTCATAAATGCTTATGATATCAATCTTAGGGGCATGTTAATGCAAGAGAGTATGAGCATCCCTAACTAGTGTCATCCTGTAACATATATCAATTGCACTTTGTAACTAATTGAGATGAACTACTCCATAATAGAGAATAAGTATTTAGTAGTGGTTTGAGGTTTTAAAAGTTTTATATATACTTGCATCATTCTCAAACTCTACTAAAGGGCAATCATATTGTAGTCCTTCATTACTGAAATAAAAGAACTTAATTAACTATATTGTTCAGTGGGCATTAAAGTTTTAAATCTATAATTTCAAAGTTATTCATTGCCTTGGAAGTTCAATAGTTGATATTGATACTTTATTTCAAGTTTCTTTCCCTTTTCTCTCTTCTTTTATTCCTAAAGAGCTCATTTTCTAGATGAGCATATAGTAGTTGTTATGCTCAATGTTTAAAATTCACATTAGATTTATCTCTTTTGGATGATGTTGTAAGTAACCAAAGGGAACAACTCAAAAGATGGTCCATGGGGTTCAAATATAAAGGGAAAGGGCCTATAAATAAAAGTGTACCCTTTTTTCCAATCGGTTAAAAGTTTTGGGATACTTGGGGTTAAGTGTCCTTAAATTTGAATAGTACTTGGTTAAGTGACCTCCCGAGAAGTCTAAACTCAGAAGCTTACAAATGTTTAAGAAGTCAAAGGGTTAACCTATGGATCCAAAAGTTTTGTGAGGGCTTTAAGAATTTTGTATCACTTACTAATGATTTGTCATTTTGGCATTTACATTATTAATATTATCTTAGGGACAACTTTCTTTATTTTGTAAAGACTAATCTAGATGATTATTTACAATTAGTGGTGCCTTCACTTCTATAGCTTCCACACTTACCATAACTCTTTTATTTTAGACAGACATATATACATTATTGTGTGATTGAGAAGTTCTTCTATTAAAAAGGTTTTTTTATTAGCTAAAGATATGACAAGATATTATATGATATGTGTATAGTTGTATGTGGTGCCAAACTTATAATACTCCTTTTCATACTATGAAAGGATGGTTAGAGTCAATTGCAATTTTTTATCTATTTAATTTAATGGCATTTAATTTGATGGGGCCTTTTTTTGGTCAATTGCGGGGAATGAGTATGTTAGCATTGTTTCCAACTATCTAATTCATTAAATGGAAGTTGTTAATGTGTTTGCAATTGTTATTAAATACTTTATCCTTAATCAAATGGTATTTTAGCATTTTTGTCTAAAGATGATTCTCTTATATAATATTTTTGCATTTATGGTTAAGACATTCCATGTTTTGACCTCATTTGGGGATATATCACACTTTTGAAAATGTTTATCATCTATAGTTATTTTTCTAATATGCATATATCACAAAGGTGTATAGTTATGTTAGTGTTTCACTATATAAATACTTATGGTCTTATATTATTAATGAAGTTGAGTTTGTCTTCATAAAAATTATAAATTGTTGATGTATAGGTATTAAGATTAATATTTGACAAGAATTCATCTATTGGTTTAAGATAAATCACTTGGGCAATCTTAAGGTATGTGATTTATCTAAATGCTCCTTGCTTGATTAAACGGACCTAGGCTACAAGGTTATGAGGTTTAAGATTTGCACAAATATTATGTTCCTCTCTAATTAAGTACACTCTAATTAAATGCATTATTGTGACTAAATCTTTTGTCAAAAAAAAACTTACTTACACTGACATGGTGTTCTAAATGACGTAATTTATAATAAAATAGTTTTAAAAAGACTAGCAAATCACACTTCTGCTGGGGGTAAATATGTTCAAATATTTTTAATCCATATTATCCTTAGCAATATATAATATAAATAATACATTCACAAGATAAAAATCCCTTATCCAATTATATGACAAGAATTCAATTATGTTTTAAAGGTTTATTTTTAAAATGCAAAGTGAAAAAAAAATGCTCCCTCAAGCTATAATGCTTTTAGATACCTACCATCATCAAAAGCTCATATGGCTTGAGAATAACAAGCTGAATTCATTTTAAAGAATGTTTCTCTCTAAACTAAAAAGTGATTATAACAGCTGCAAATACTAGCCAAATCATTATATGATTCACATTTGTTTTATATAATATACAATATTGAATATACTAGAAAATCTTACATACCCAACATGTCAATATTAAGTTAAAGAGTATGTCTTTCTTAAAGGTCAAATTGAGTGTAGCATTGAGTTGGAGTGGTGTGAATGAACTTCTTTGTGGCGAAAGCAATGCACAATATGATCATTTGTCAGCCCAGATGCTTGCATGAAAGAGTAGACAATCGCTGGAGCCACACCTCGGAATCCTTTCTGGATTAAATCTTTGCTCATTACCTCTGACCTTGAGCTCTTGATGGGAACTTGGGACGACATCCGAAAGCTTGTTACAATTGGCTTGTTGTTTACAAAGCTCCATATGTATTGATCAAAGCTGCCAAACTCATGGGAGATTTGGAGAACCCTCCTTGCATTCTCGATCACACTCTCCACTTTGCCATCTTGCTGGAGAATGTCAACACTTGATCGGGTTTCTGCTATCCGTGCTGCATCGTAAGTTGAAAGGATTGATGGATCAAACCCGGAGAATGCAGTTCTACAAAGAATAGATCAAATTTAATACTAAAATACAATATTAACATATAGTTTGATTTCTACCTGTAGAGATCACGTTTTGCCAATATACCAGACCAACTAAGCTCAGATTGTGCACTAGCAAGTGTGAGCAGCTCAAACAGCAGCCTGGAAGCAATTTAAATAAGTCACATTTTAAAAAATAGACAAAATGGTTCTTACTTATCATTATGAACAGGAACTCCCCATTCATGGTCATGGTAAGCAACATTGACTGGATCTTCACACAAAAGAAACTTGTTACTTGGGAGGAAAATATGCTTTGAGAGATTCGTACCGCTCTGTGGAGTGATCCATCCACATCTCTTCTTCGAAGCTGGCGTTGGAGAGAAGAGGGGCTTTTCCGGAACGGACTTGGCGGAGCCGATACGTCGACCATAGTGTGATATCTTTGCCTTTCTTTGTTCTTGCAATTCCCGCAAAGATGGAGCTCTATCCACGAAATGCTGCCTCTCGACGAGGATACTGATGGTTGGACTCGTGGGCGAGAGTTTCTTCGCCTTCTTCTTCTTGGGCGAGCTCTTGATTTTATTGAACAATGATCCTCCGGCTTGATCCTGCTCCGGACTCTTGGGAACGATGTTCTCGGACAAGATGTGGTCGGACTTTTTGAGCAGTAGCATCGGAGGCCTTTTGAGAGCTGGAGAAGAAGAAGAAGAAGAAGAAGAAGAAGAAGAAGAAAAAGAAGAAAAAGAAGCTGTTCTTGGAGACGTGATCACTTTGGGCTGTGTTCTCCAGAGCGCAGGCCTCTTCTGCTGAGCCATTGGAGGAGAAAAACTTGGAAGAAAGAAACCTTTCCAAAACAACCAGAGAACAGATCAATGCTAGTAAGCTGCTAGAAAGAAAACTTCTTGCTCAATACCTAGGTGTGTGTGTGTGAATGTGTGGCTTAAATAACTGGAATAGCCCGTTGGAAATCCTTCTTCTTTGTTTTTCTTTCTTAAAGTTTCTATCTAGCCTACATTTATTCTTTCTGATGTTTAGGCTGAAGGGATCAAAGCTTCCATGACAGGCATGCATGTGGCAATTGGCAGAAGTTATCCTAATTAGTCACTCCAAAAGAATTTCAATCCAAAACCAGCATGACAATTTTTTGAGCGTGAAGGAAACACTTTGTATGATGCTTTCTGGGATTGGCAAGTGCAGGGTTTGCGTGGGATCCATTTCTTGGTGTGAGCCTGCCATTCTACAGCCTTAAGAGAAAAAAACAGTCTTTTTTTATGGTGTGACTTGGAAGATATGCAATGAAATTAATTTATCAATATTATTCTTCTGTAATAGTGTTTTTAAGAAAAAGATTCGTTAGAAATGGATCATGGAGGAAAGGAACAACTCAACAAAAACCATAGATATTGCACACTATTATAAGATATTCTAGTTGGCTTCTCTTTTTTTCCTCTAGTAGGTGTAACTAAAGTACCTCCTGGCAAGCTGAACATGATGCACATGGAAGCCAGAATGTTTATTTTATTTTTCTCTTCACAAGCCAAAGGCCTCAATCAATCATCTCTCAACTAACATAGAAGTGAGAAGATATCTCTGGTGATTTTGCAAATGTTTGGAAGTGTCGCTGAAGTGAGATGCCCTTTGGCAGGAATTAATTGCTTGAGAGAAGAACTCTTCCAGAAACAGTGACACTCCACCTGCTTGTTGCGTTGCTGTTTTGGGTGGCCAGCCAAAAATAGTTTTACAAAATCAGGGAATATTTAGAAGGCTAGAAAGGGACACCTATCGCTAAAGTAAAACCAAATAATATAAGAATTAATATTATTAATAATACCAAACACAAATAGCACTCCTTGGTACTTTGAAGCTAAGTATTGTCCAGACGCAAGATGCTATCCAATTCATTTCTTTCAACCTTTCAGTGTCTTGTTGAGCAAAGCGATGTGTTGCAGGAGGAGAGCCAGCACAACCAAGATCATGAGCTTCATTGGAATGTTCTTGACACAACTTCAACCGCTAGTCAGGTATTCCAAATCTGGTGCACATATAGCTTATCTAACTTTATTGTCAAGATCAGGCCCTCCATCACTCTAGTTTATCCTGCGTAAGTTGAACGAGTCCTCTCAAAAACATTGCTTTGAGTGATTGCTTTGATGCATTCAGGTATGCTTCTCTTCAAGCACTTGAGAGCCCTTTCCAAGAAGACGATCATCCATGGCTCACGTATTGGTCCTTGTACTCATCTCTAAGTTTTGTGCAAACAGTGCTCATTCTAAACTTTCCCTGGTACGAGCAAGCTTTATAACATTTCGTTTATCTTTTGAATTTTTATTTTCCAAGGTTGCCAGTCCCATTGCTAGAAATGATAAAGTTTGTAGCTTGTTGCTGGCTATTGTTCCCTCCTTTCCAAGGCGCAAGATTCATTTATCTCAAACACATTTGTGGAAGAAATCGTTTAGGCGAAGAGCTTAAGGATGAAGTGAGATGGGAGAATTTGGAGCAAGCCACACTGGACATGATGAAGCCAAGAACCCAAGAAGCTGCAATAAAATTCATCGAGAACAATGGTCAGGACACATTTGAAAAGTTGATGCAAGTGGTAAGCTACCAAAAAGAAAAAAGATATCTCGGAGATAAAACATAAGTTTTGTGCAGGCTGTCAAAGGTGCGATTAAAAACAAGCCCAAGACGCCAAGGAATGTTGTGAGGATTTACCTCCAGAAACGAGGAGGCTTTTAAATTGCAAAGTTTGGTTTTATGATAATTTACTCCAGATTTCATAGTTATCTTCAAGACGTGTGATGGGTCTATTGGTAGGGATCCATGGGACGAAATCCACACGTGGATTTCTATTCAGATTTGCTAAAACGCGTCACCAAAGCTCGAGATCTTCCCACTGGCAAAAGAGTCCACTCCCAAATTCTTGCAGCCAGCGATCTCAAAACCAACAGTTTTCTAGCGTGCGGGATCATAGATATGTATGGAAAGTGTGGCAGCGTCTGCGACGCCCAGAAAGTTTTCGCCACCCTCCCATTTCCAAATCTCTACGCGTGGAACACGCTCCTCACGGCTTATACCCACAATGGGTATCTCCAGGAAGCTCGAAAAATCTTCATTGAAATGCCACAGAGAAACGAGATTTCATGGAATGCCCTGAGCGCCACGTACACACAGCATGGATTCTGTGATGAGGCAGCCAACATTTTCATAAAAATGCCCAGCACGACCGTCCGATCTTGGTCGAGCATCGTCACGGCACATGCCCAAGCTGGGCATCTTTTCCAAGCCAAGAGCCTGTTTGATTCCATGCCGGAACGCGACCTTGTTTCCTGGACGTCGATCTTGGCTGGGATGGCGGGATCGACGGACCAGATCAAAGCCTCCATGGACGTCTTCCATCGAATGCCCGGCTGGGATTCCCCGTCATGGAATGCCGCCATAGCCGGACTCATTCTGGTAGGGAATCTGGAAGAGGCGAGGGTCATGTTCCATGGGATGCCGGAAAGGACTGTCTTCTCATGGACGGCCATGATTCTAGCATTCTCCCAGAATGGCCAGCAGGAGCAAGCGGTGGAGATTTTCTCCAGGATTCCGCAGCGAAATGTGGTGACGTGGAATGCCATGATCGTGGCATTTGCGTACAACGGGCAAGTTGGTGCAGCAAAGGTTGCGTTTGATGGAATGAAACAAAGAGATATTGTGACGTGGACGGGACTCGTCAACTGCTATTTCGATTTAGGGCTAATGGAGAAAAGCATTGAGACGCTGAACAAAATGCCTCAACACACACTCAAGTGTCTAACTTCACTTCTTGTAGCATTTGCCCATTCCGGGCATTTAGAAAGTTCAAAAGCTCTCTTTTTGAGGATGCCAGAGATTGATCTAGTAGCGCTTACTGCTATGCTCTCAGGCTACGCACATGCAGGCGAAGTAGAGCTATCGAAATATATTTTTGATCGCATGTCTAATCGCGATGCTGTGGCATGGACTGTGATGCTCGCGGCATATGCCCACGCTGGGCATTGCTGCGAGGCGATGCAAACGCTCGCGGCTATGGCGGTGGAGGGGATCAAGTGCGATGAGAACGCGTTCATCTCCATTCTCAACGGGTGTAGCCACTCGGGCCTGGTTGAAATCTCGCAGTGGTGCTTCCAATCCATGGTGGCAGATTACAATCTTGCACCATGGGTGGAGCACTTCTCGTGCATTGTTGATGTTCTTGGGCGATCAAATTGCTTGCATGAGGCAGAGGAGCTTCTCCACACGATGCCTTTCTTGCCCGATGTTGCAACCTGGTCGAGTCTTCTCAGTGCGTCTGAGACACACAAGGATCTGGGAAGGGCACGGCGAGCGGCACAGCACATCTCGAAGATAGATCCATCTCAAGGCGTGTCTTATGTATTGCTCTCCAATAGCTTGAATAGAGGCATAGCTCCTGACAAGTGTTAAGGTGGCTCATCTGATTATATATTTTAAATATTTTTATTGACTTTTATTTAAAATACTTACTTTGTTAAAATTGCTAGAAATACCTACGTTTTGGTTTGTTTGATAGATTAGCATATCTGATATGAAAATAGTTTCTTCAAACTTATTTTAGATTAATTTTGCTTGTTTGCAATTTTTAGATATATCCAAATGCCTTGAGTATGTTTTATAATGTTCTTCTAATAAGAGTTTCTAGATTGGATTTGCCATGTATGAAAGCTAGTTGAGGACTAATATTTTAAAATATCTAATAGTAATATAATAATAAAGGACAAAATTGAAATAAAATAATACTTAATCTACTACTATAAGGAGTAATTGCCAAACTTTGTGGGCTCCTGGATTTGGCCAGTTGGCACTAGGTAACCCAGTAAATCTCGGTTCTTACCACATGTCCTTCTGAAATATTTTTGCAAGGTTTGGGCTGGCCAGTGGGTGTGTAGCATGGCCTGGGGCAGGGGAGGAGGTGTGAGTGACATTTTTCTGTTTGCATAGCCCGGGAGGGATAAAAAAAACTCTCCTTTTACCACAGCTCTTCCCAGCCACAAAGTTTCCAAGGGAAGCAGGAGAGGAGGCACTGCCCAGATGGATGCCCATGAGCTCCAAGGTTTGTGGAGAAGCAAGCTTGCCACTGACTAGTAGGGACAAGGAGAGGGGATCGCAAGTGGCAGGGCTGGCGATGGCATTGGAGCCATGTGGAAGAGGAGGCTATGTGCTTAAAATGCAACTTGGGGATTGGGGGATGGTAAAAGGGTTATTTCTTTAACCACATCATCACCAAACGATATCTCTTTGCAACAGCAAAGTTCTAGGTGATGTAAAGATGGGTGAAGAGAGTAGTGAACCAGGTTTATTTTTATCTTGATAGAGTAGAATTTAATCACTTTCCTTTCTAGGATTTGAGTGCCTTGTATAGCTTAGTGCTTTAGGTACTTGGTCTATTCTAATAAAATGCTTTATTGCTTGAGGAATAGATGTGCAAAAAGACTTCAATTAGCCATTAAATTTTCAAAGTCCCTTTTACTATTTTAGTAGGTATTAGCACTTGGCTTCTTTGCTTCTTAAACCTTCTTTGTGGCTAAATCCAGGCATTCAAACATAGACTTCTAGCCAAGTGCCTTGTGGGATTGTAGGAGGTACTCAATTTTAGAATGTTTATTTTTAAAATATGGGTTTGTAAAGGGAATTTTTAGCTACATGCAAATTATATAGCATTCTAGACTCTGGAATTTGGAATTTAATTGCTTCCTCGGAGGAAACACAATATGTATATGTGATCTACAACTTCATTCAAGTGGTGAGCCGCTTCTTATATATGTATTATCTCGATATAAAAGTGTAAACGACTAAATTTTCCATTCTACTTTAGTCACTTAACCACACCTCCGACCACTTGGAGGAGTCTCATTCA